GCCTGCTGCCACCAGAAAGACGACTTTCTGAGAAACTGCAGGCTTAGCCCCAGAACTAGTGTCACACTAAAAACAAAGTTGCTTCCTAGGTCCTAGTTCTTTCTTCTCTGTTCATGTTTAAACAAACGATAATCAGGTTAAGTAAGCAATATTTTAGATTAAACTAGGTAAAAGCATAATGTAACACCACCCCCTCCCCCTAAAATTTCACCAAAACGGAAGTGCAGTGAATTTTTGGCAAATTGATTTGTGTCTTTTACTAGATCGCATCACATTCACCTAAGTTAACAAAGAATTTAAGGAGGACTAGGCACCAGCAAGCCTGATAAAATTCTGCTCAGTTTCCACCCAGAAAATCTACAGTCATGGTGAGTATCCACAAGATGTTCCACTAGACATGATTTTTAAATTCAAAGCCTGTTACAGCAACTACGTCTCAGAAGACAACTTTCACCTCAGTGAACTCTAGAACTTAGAAGCAAAGTTCCTACAGTGTAAAGGATCGAGCACAGGGAGCTGTACTCTGGTTCAAGACAGGTTGTAAGTCCCTAAGGGTGTATATGTTACTAATATTTTGTAGAATACATTTCTTATAACATAGTTTTGTAACATTAGTTTAGATAAAGCATAAAAACATCAGATATTATACAGTAACAAGACCTAACCAGACATTTTCCCCAAATGCTTAGCCAATATTCAGAGGTTTTCAGAAAGACAATGTCAAGCTTATCAAAAACACAACATAAAATGGCATAATGAATGTACCTAGAATTACATTAATGAGATGCTTACATGTTTCCACCACAAAATGACTGCATGTATTTTCTCTGTTGATGTAATCTGTGAAAATTTATGACAAAATCAAAAATCTAACTGTGATTTTCCAAAAACATTGTGATAGGGTATGGTGTCAACCCCAAACAAGCATAAAAAACAACATCTTACTTTTGCCCAAAATACAAGAAGAATTTAAACTATCCAGTATTTTTTTTCCTGTTAGGTTGATGATTGATAACCAGATGCACAACATATATGTAATAAACAAAGGAACAGTGGTTCACAGAAGGCTCTAAACCAACACACCAAAACTTTAAATTATTATACTACTACTCAAAAAAGTTAGGAGAAAGGCAACACACTTTATGTATAAACTCACAGTTTGGCCCTATTTTTAATGTTGGTTTACAGCCATCCAGTTCTCTGGTCAGTCTTTAACATTAAGGTTACAGAGTTCACTGGTTCCAATGTACATTTTTCTAATCAGCTTTACTTTTTCTGTCACGGTTTCAAATGCACAGTACAAACATGTAATATTAAGTCTCTCGCTACTCACCCAGGTGGCATTCCAGGCATAACTGGCGGCATTCCAGGCATCATAGGTGGAACGCCTGCCATTAACGGTGGTATACCTTAAAAGAAAAAGAAATTTGAACAACTCTGACAACAACTCTCATCTAATGAATTTAGACTGGATAAATGCTTTACTGGAAGCTTTCAATGACTGTTTTTTGAAATACCACTGCTTACAGACAATGCAATATAAAAGACTATCTGCACATCTGACTTACTGACTGTGTAAATTTTCTTAACAGTCTCCAAAGAACATGCCTTATCATCGCAGAAAACACAATGAGAACAGGCCAGTTTTTGCTCACTGTCATTGATCAAAATTCCTTCCTCAATATATTTGTGGCCTGGGTATAAACATTTTAACTCTTCTCTGTTAGCAGTCTCTAGATATATGGCAGCTTTTCTGCCGTTTCCAAATCTTGTTACAAAATACCACAAGTATCAGTAGTACACTTCTGTTTAAAGTCCTAATCTGTCTTACTAGCACACTCTAGGTGCAAGCATTAGGTATCTTGATCTACTTCCCAAAGGAAGATGTGTGCGCACACATAGAATGGGGGAAGAAAAATGACGAAACTGCTTACGTGCGCCTCAGGAAACTATTTTGTGACTTCTAACACCCGTTGTTAGAAAGGGCAGATTATTATTCCAGCATACAAGCAGCAATTTGTGTTTCTATTCAGCTTTTCTGTAACTAGCTTAAAATATAATCTCACCTGGAGGCATCCCTGGTGCACCTGGCACAGGAGGCAAACCTGGTTGCGCCATTGGGGGAATATACCCCTGCTGTGGCTGGACTTGCTGGGGCTGAAATGAAGTCGAAGCCGCCGATTCATCATCTTCATACTCATCAGAATCATCCTGCTGTTTCTTTTTCTGGCTCTCTGCTAAACAGTACACGGTATATGGTCAGACTAAAGGCAAATTTTATTTTATGAAATTCATTTTATCTGGGGAATTCTAGATGGAATGAAAATAATAAACTTCAAACCTTATCAGCATGTTCAAAAATTCATAGAATTACAAAGAAGAAAAACTATGTGAGCCTACCTATATGTACAAATAATAAAAGGAAGGAAAGTGACTCACACTGACCCTCAACATAAACAGGGGTCTTCCTTCATGTCAGTCTCATGCTGTCCAGAATAAACCAAAGCAGTTCAAACAAAGGTATAAACAGCAAAGAAATCTAAGTACTTGGGCATCATCAGACTTGTATCACCCCTGGCCTTTCCTCCCCTTACCCTCAAAAATAAAACCACCATTCCCATATTCATCAGGTAACTGTTACAGCTGCACTGGCATGCAGCTACTCCTGAACACGGAAAGATTATCTCTCAACCTTCTACATGACTGGCAAATGTCTGGAGGTGCAGTTAAAAGAATGCATTAAACACAACCCTCACTCTTCTGACAAGCAAGACCTGCATCACACAGCTTAGTATCAGTAAGAAACAGACTAGGGAAATAACCAGCTAGATTACACTTTACCCTGAGTTTTTTGTTCAAGTAACCTCCTCCGTTCCTCCATATCCTTTTCTGGAATGCCCTCCATGCCATAGATTTCCAGTTCAATGTCTGTTCTTCCAGGAATTGCATTTGGAACAGCATCTATTGTTTCTTTATGTACCTAAAGAAAAAAAATAAAAGCCCTCCTGACCACAATGCAGGTTCAATTCTTCAGCCAGTTTCAAGTTAGGAAAGGAACGTCCTTAACGGAAAGGATCTCCAGCCAGGCATTTTCTTGGTATGCACTTCTTGATCACCATTAATGACCATTAGCTTCTAAAACCAGTTTATATAGACCTGTCTTCTGAACATCAAGACAACACAATTCCTTCACTCCTCCTACAGCCCCAAAATGACAGCAGAGATCTCTACTGCACACTCTCCACAGGACTGCTGACACAGCAGGACTCCTGTTCCAGAAACAGACCACTGACATCTTTTTTTCTCAGCAGTTTTAAAGACTCTGGAAGCCTCCAAACCCCCACCTTTTTAAGCTCACTATGAATTCCAATTTTAGGCACTGTTAAGAAAAGATTATGCAAGTCTAAAACTTCTTACCTGCATGCAATGTATAGCTAAACCAGGTCCTGTATACAGTTTCTTATGACATATATGGCATTTAAAGTGCTTTGCTTTTTGATGCTGTATAAGGATTTTTTCATCATCAAAATCCCTGTTACAGTACCTATTGATGACTGTTAAGGAAATACTTAATCCTGAAGGTGACCTTCTATATAACATTAAGCTAATTAGCATCATTGTGATCTTTCCTAAAGTGAAAGAAAAAAAAAAAAAAAAAGCCATACAAAGCATCTCTGAGCATTCAAAGCATGACAAATCTTTCATGGATGTCTGAAATCAAACCTCCCCCTCATGCCATGCAGCATTTCCCTCTTCAGACAGGTACAAAACTGGCAAGATCCATGCACACAATCAGAATCATCATTTGATTCCATATTCTTTGGCACATGCTTTTCAAGTCCCAGCTATTTCTAAGTGGACTCATTCCTTCCCTGCATAGCTGTAGATTAAAATGAAGTTGCTAAAGCATTAAAGGAGAAACAGACTTGAAATCCACAAAAGGGAAGTCGTGCTAAATACTTAGAAGGAATGCCTATTTAATAACAATCATCGATAGCTAATATTTATAAGAGAGAACACATTTTAATTTAAAATAACTTTCTTTTTTCATTTATCCAGCTATTAATTCTTATGACACCGCCTGACTTGCTGCCATCATTAAAGAATTCTCTGTTTTTAATAGAAAGATTTTAAGTGAAGAACTTTACGGAAATCTCTGTGACAGAAGAGGCAAACTGCAATTTCCTTTCCGCAGGTCAGCATCAGTATTTCAGCGAACACTCCACACATATCTTCCTAAGCGAGATGACTACACATTTGTTACTCATTAACTGCTCCTTGTTAACAGTGTCCCTCACTTTCACCAAAACTTGTAATATATTAATACCTAAAATAGAAGCACAGATTCTTTCCAACATAAAACGGTAAAGCACCTTAGAGCAGCTTATAAATTCCTTTATTAAACAATTTTAGATTGGGTAGAAATATTTTAGAAATAAAAAAGGTCAATCCGTAATCACCCAACAAAAAGCAGATCGTGAAGGAGAGATCGAAGAAAAATCCACCCGTATTTCTAGATACAGTGAAGTTATACGTGACTTCAACACAGCAATTAAAAATGTTCAAGTGTGTGTGTGTCTGTCCCCTAGAAAAAAAGCTTTCAAAAAGTCTTTTAACCACATCCGCCCCACTTCTCCTCGAATAACCGTATTTATCAGACGCAGGGGCTTTTTTCTTTAACATCTTTTCCCCTCGTCGGAGAAAGACCGTTCTCCACCTTCCCCAAGACCCCGGCAATCCCGCCGGGCCTGGGCACAGGAGCCGCCCTCGCCACGGAGCGGACGCGAGGCCGCGGCCTGCAGCGAGGAAGGCGGACACGGGCGGGCCAGGCCGCGCGGCGGGGGGGAGGGGGAGCAGAGGAAGGGCACGGACCAGGCCCCATCACCGCGCTGACGAGCACAGAAATGGAGCAGGACCAAGCACGGAGCCGAACCGTAACAGGGGTGCAGAGAAAGGAAGAGTCCCGTCCCAGGGAAGCGAGGAGCTACGGGGAGAACGGGATAGGACGGGACAGAGACCCGACCGGGCCAGGCCGCTCCCCTCCCCCACCCAGCGCCCCACACCCGCCTCGTCGCACACAGAAGGATACCAGCACCAAGGCTTCAGCTGCTTCTTCTTCTTACGGCCCATGGCGGCGGCGCCCCCGACCTACGCAGCAAGGAGACAGCCGAGCTCTTCCCTCCTGAGCCGCAACGCCCACACCAGCCTCTCCACGGAGGCGAGCGAGGCACACAAAATGGCCGCCACCCACCCTCCGCGCGCCCCGCCC